GGGACTCACTAGCCTTGGCAAAGAATGCAAGTGTTGCTTTAACCTCTGAAATGCCGCCTCAGCCTCTTCTCCCCATTCAAATCTAGACCTCTTCCTGATTGCTTGGAAGAAGTAAAGGCACTTGTCACCTAATCGGCTGAGGAATCTTCCTAATGCCACCAGGCAACCGGTTAACTTTTGGGCCTCCTTGACAGTGCGGGGTGACTGCATGTCAATCACCGCCTGTACCTTTTCCGAATTGGCCTCTATGCCTCTTTGATCAATCAGAAATCCGAGAAACTTCCCAGACTCAACACCAAAGACACACTTCTTGGGATTAAGCATCCTTTGTCGCCTGAGGGTGGTGAAGGTTTCTTGGAGGTTAGCTAGGTGATCCGCCTGTAGCTTGGATTTGACTATCATGTCATCAATATACGCCTCTACATTCCTTCCAATTTGATTGATGAAAACCGTGTTGATCATTCGTTGGAAGGTAGTAGGCGCATTTTTCAACCCAAACGACATCACCGTGTAGCAGTACAACCCCTGATCAGTGATAAAGGTCGTCTTCTCCTGATCCTTCTTCCATAGGGGGATTTGATGGAAGCCTGAGTAGGCGTCCATGAAGCTCATCAAGGCATGGTCGGCTGTAGAGTTGACCAGGCTGTCGATCTTAGGAAGTGGGTAGCTATCCTTCGGACATGCCTTGTTCAGATCTGTGTAATCTACACACATCCGCCAGGTACCATTCGGCTTCTTGACAAGGACAACATTTGCTACCCAATCTGGGTAGTAACAATTCCGAATGAACCCGGCATCAAGGAGTTTTTTGACCTCGGCGGCTGCCGCCTGAGACCTCTCCTCGCCATGATCCTTCTTCTTTTGCCTAACTGGCTTCATTTTGGGATCAACGGCTAACCTGTGAACGGCTAGATCTGGGCTGACGCCTGGCATCTCCTCCACTTCAAAGGCAAAAATGTCTTTGAACTCTCTCAGAAGTTGGAGCAAGTCTGCCCCCAACTTTTCAAGGGCAACCGTCCCCACTTTGACTATTCTGTCAGGACGGCTGTCGTCCAGGACGACATCAACGCTCTTACCAGCCGGCTGGGGTCGGGAGTCATCCGGCCTTTCCCCGACTAGTGATTGCTATTTTGTTTTTCTAGCGGGGGCCAACTGGTCCGCCTTTCGCTTTGTGCCGGTTGCCCTGGGAGCAGGCGCGGCTTCCTTGTCCTCAGAGTCAGTGGGTTCCTCATTATGACCGGCTACAGAAGCAGTTGGCCTGACGTCTGAGAGATAGCACTCCCTAGCCGTCTTTTGGTCCCCGCTCAAGGCACCCTCTGATCCGTCATCCCTCTCAAACTTGATCAGCATAAGAGAAGGGATGATGACTGTCTTGAACTCGTTGAGGGTGGGACGACCCAGAATAAGGTTGTAGGCGGTCAATTCCTCGACCACTAAAAATTTTACGACCATGTGTCGTCCTTCCCCCTTGTCCCCTAGCCGGACGGAAAGGTCAATCCTCCCCGCCGGATGCACTACTCCTCCCCCAAAGCCGACTAGGGGGTGAGGAGCCTTATGCATACTGCTAGGCTTGTACCTGAGCTTTGTCAAGCACTGGTAGCTGATCAGGTCAGACGAGCTCCCGGTATTGATTAAGATCCGGCCAACCCGTTGATTGACAACTTTGCATTCGATGACAATGGGGTCATCGTGAGGTCGCCTGACCATACTCCTATCCTTCTCAGAGATGAAGATCTCAGGGAAAGTGTCTTTCGACGCCTGACCCTCATATTCTGGGTTGGATAATTTTCGGATGTTATCCTTGGCACCCCGGATGGTAGGACCTTCGCTTGCGAAGCCGCCTGCTATAGTGAAGATGTGCTCTTCATCGGTTTCAGAGCTAGCAGCCGGCTTTTTGGACGGTTGTCCACCACTTGATTTGGGGTTGCCGTTGGATTTTACCAGATAGGACTTCAGAGCCCTCTCATCAGCCAGACGGTCCAATAGTCGCATGAGGCTATAGCAACCATTGGTGTCATGGCCAACATCCTCATGGAACTGGCAGTACTTGCTTTTGTCCCTATTCTCAACAGAGCTTTTCATTGCAGCCGGTTTCTCAATTGTCAGCCGGTCCTTTATCTCCATGAGGATGGAAGAGCAGTCTTTGTTGAACTCGTACTTGGGGACGTACGGTTCTAACTTCCTTTGCTTCTTCTAGGACGGCTGACCTGATCGGTCTGCTGCTCAGACTTCTTTTCTTTTCTTTTCTTCCTTTTTTGCCGACTGAATAGGCCGACTTTCTTTTTTCTCGGGCCGTCTGGGCTATGATGGGTGCTTGATGGAACAGAGTTCGGTTGCCTGTATATAGGCCTCCGCCTCCATCAGCGCCTCCTAGAGGGTAGCTACCCTCTTACGGACAAGGTCAAATTTGAAAGTTGACCCATCCTTCAGACTCTTAAAGAAGTCTGTATATGCAACTTCGTCAGATAGCCCCTAAATCTGAATTCTCATCAGATTGAACCGTCTAACAGAGGACCGAAGTCCCTCCTTGTCACCCTGCTGAATAGCCCCTAGGTCGAGACTTGTCTTTTTAGCAGGGATGTTCATGGAGAAGTTGGACGCAAACAAGTATGCGAGCGTCTTAAAGTTTTTTATGCACCCAGCCGGCAGGTTGCCAAACCATCGTTGGGCTATGCCCTTCAATGTAGCTGGGAAGCATTTGCACCAGGCGGCGTCATCCAACCCCTGTAAATACATGAGGTTGGTGTATGCCATTAGGTGGTCTTTCGGGTTGGTGGTACCGTCGTAGGCACCAACCAACACATTTTTAACCTTGGCCGGCTGTGCCACCTTGGTTATTTCTCGGGAGAAAGCCGAAGGCTGTTCCCCAAGGTTTAGCAGCCGAAGCTGCCAGTCCATAGGCTGGACTTGGTATGCCGCCTGACCCCCAAAGGGAGCCGACTGCATAAATGGAGATCCATACGGGACGTATGGCTGTTAGGGCACATACGGAGCCTGCTGGATCACATGAGGACCAGTACGGGAGGACACGTCGCGTGATTGACTCCCTTGTTGCGTCTCCGAATACTTCATTGAAGCATTTTGGAAACTGTCTGAGTAGGTCAAAGTGGAGGCCGACTGAGACATGCTCTGACTTCTCTTCTCCTGAGCATCAGAGAAAGTCTTCTTTGACCCATCCGGCTGTGTATGCCGGATGGCCTTCCTTTTCCCTGATTCAAGGAAACAAAGTTTAGAGAGGTCGATCAGGGGCCCCTCCGTCCCCTTGCGCTTAGGGTGAGGAGTAGGCACCCGGTCTTTGATTTGCTTCTTCCCATAGGGAGAAGGCTTCTTTGCCGGCTGACCCTTGTTTGAGCCAGTTGACTTCTTGATTATGTCCTTTATTTCCCCTTTGAAACTCGTCATGAATTTCATGAGCTCGTCTCTGGTGACGGGGGCAGCACCCTCTGCCGCCTGGGGTTGACCAACAGGCTTGCCGCCTGGGTTGTTGGGACCAGCTTTGTCTTGGCCTTGTTCCCTTGTTTCCTTGGAACGGGTGCGCCTAGATTGAAATGACCCATCTGGGGCCATATAGGTTTCGACATCGTAGTCGTCACCACTGCCACTTTCATGGTATGTATGGACCTCAAGGTCAGCCGTAGGCCGACTGCCCTTTGCATTCGGTATAGAGTCGGATGCCATCTCAGTAGTACTCTCCCCACAGACGGCGCCAAATGTTTCGGGTGTTTTTAGTCCCTCGGGAGAGTTATAATACTGGGTATGAGCGCCTGACTTCTGTACCTGCAAAACCACGAAACTCTGGTTGGGTGGAGTTCCGCCTCCGAAGATCAAGTTAGTATGATTCCGAATGAGTAAGCGTGCGGAAAGTAAAATGGGTGTTTCTCTCTGATTCAGGGAGACTCCGCAATTAATATTGCTCGGGATTTGTGTATGCATTTATGAATGCCAATAAATGAGGATGATTCCCCTATTTATAGCAGATGAGAATCTGCTCCCCCATTGGGGGTTAAATGCCACGTGGCATCCTCTGATTGGATCCCTTTGGGTCTGTATCAGGGTGACACGTGTTAGGCCCTCATTGGGCCACGTGGCAGGGATAATTTTTACCCCAAACAATAAGTAAACAAATAATTTTAGTGGTATTAATGTCCGCACACTATTATAAGTGTTAAAAAAAGAGGTAATTAACATTAATGAGGACAAATAAGTAAATTAACATTCTAGAGGATATAAATATTCAAACACTATTCATAGGAATCATCTCAAACTTTTTAAAAGGTAGGGATTTACTTCTATATTAGTTTAATTCATATAATAATTTGACATTATGCAAATATACATTGTGACTAATAATCCAACAAAGTTTACATAATAACATACATTTAATTTTTATATATTATTAAATCATTAACTCAAAGTAAAAATTAAATTCACATAATATAGGGTCTTTTGGTCAAACCCACCCCCCTCCCCCCTTTTTAGTTTTTAATTTGTTATTATACACTCTTTTTTAGTATTCAAATGAGGAACAAGCCAAATAAAATACTTCTAGGATTCTACTAAAAAAGTACAAACACAAACAAAAAATACAAAACAAGCATAAGGAGGGACTAGACATTGGAATGTCTCGCCCTTATTATCTTCTTATAGGATTCTGCTAAGTTCTAAGAGCATGCCCGACAGGTGACCAAAGTCTTGGTCATGAGGAGAGAGAACTGCAGATTTACATTAATATATTGAAAAGAAGTAAAAAATGGCGAGATTGGGCGATGACCAAGGCTTGGCCATGACCAAAACCAAGCTGTTGGGCAAGGTTTCCTAGAGCGCCACGTGGATGTTGAATGGCTTGCATCCCCAAGTAGTCAGGGGATTTTGTTGCCGAAGACAAAAAACGGTAAAATGTATGGGGTAAAAGTAGGTAGAGAAAATTTAAGACCAAACTTTCTAGGGCAACCATGAGGAAGTATTAATAGAGGTTAGATATGTATGGGGAAATATATAACATGGAAATATTGTAAATAAATTGCAACTTTTTGGGTAACAATATGTGAAAATGGAGGGAAAATGAGAATTGTACAGTAAAAATATGTAACGGTGTGGGACCCATAACTGAATAAAAAAAACAAATGGAAAAGGGGCCCATTAGTTGATAAAACTAATCTGAATTTTTTTTTTTTTTTTTATCTTTTCTCTTTTCCTAAATTGTATTACTCCCCTCTCTCTCTCCTCAATCTATTTCCTCAATCAAAGCAGTTTCTGAGATTCTTCTTCAATGAAGCAGCTTTTGAGCTTCTCCTCCGTTGAACCAGCTTTACAGGTTATGAATCTTAATATATTTTTGTAAATTATTTCGCTATTTTTTACTCTATTTTTTTAAATCTTAATTCGCATTTTTTTCTTTAATTATTTTGTATTGTTTGCTCTATTTTTTGTATGATTAGTTTAGAATTCCTTCAATTAAATCCTAAATCCCCTAAAATTGAAAGGATCTTATCAATTAAATCACAATGAGGAAGCTATTTCACTTTAATCGCTATTTAAAGTTGAATTTTCCTTGATTTTCTTACTTTAAAAAATCAAATTGCCCCTACTTCGTTATAAATCATTGTTTATTTATTTGGTTTTTAGCAGCGAAAATGGTTCCTTTCTAAGCCGTGGAAATTTTAGGTTGATGTTAAATGCTAAGGTTGATAATAATGTTCATCCTCTTTTTTTAATTAATTTTTCATGTCTACTTTATTAGTTATTGTTCTATAGGGTTGGATGGACTCATGGACTTATTAATAATTCATTGCCTAGTGTTTATTAACTGTTGATGAGTGTTTTGTGTGAGATTCTAATTCTTCATGCGAATCTCATTGCTTAAAGTGCTTCACTATTGTGATTAAATTAAAGTGTTGTTCTAATTCTTCATGCTAATCTCATTTTGACCCTACTTTTAGTTTTGATGAGTTGTATTCATCATGCTTATGAGCTAAACTTAGCTACCTCTTTGTTTGATGATGTTTTGGTGAGTGCATTTTTTTGGAGGCATAGCATCAGTAGTCGTAAAAAAATTCCTTATTAACACTTTTTGTAATTTGTCTTTATTTTTGCAGTATGATGATTTCAATCTTTCAGCTCATAATTATAATAAAATTTCAATGTTTCAAGCTATGCAGAGTTTAGAAGACATATCATGGTTGTTTCATGTGTTACTGAAAGATATCTCTCATGCTTTTGTGTTGGAGATTGCCTAGCTACAATTTCGGGAGCTTTATTTCGAAGATAAGAGAAGTGTAAAGGCTTGTATAATTTCCTAATTTTTTTTTAATGTTTTTAGATTAGAGGATGTATATTCCTTACAAAAAATAAAAATAGAGGATGTATGCTGTATTTTATAAGATATTCAATTGATTTGATAAATGAATTGTCATTTGTTGTATAGTGTAACTACATAGTAGTTATATATACAAGCTTTGAATCCATTTATTAGAATACGTGCTTTTTAACTAGCACATAATATTACTATTTTTTTTTCTCCATTTTATTTGATTAACAAGCAAGTAGTTTTATACATAAGAAAGTAAAGTATATGTCACCTAAAACATTCTCTTGTAATATTTTTTAATTGCTAATAAATTAGGTCTAATGCATATTATATAAATTATCGTACCTTCTTCAAAAAAATTAAAGAAGTACAAAGAGGGCGATTTTTGTGTGTTGCCCTGCTTGATAATGGACTAAGAGGGCAGCTTTAAGTTGTTTCCCCTAATTGTATTTGAACTAGGAGGGCGAAATATATAATTGTCCTATTTGAGTTGTTTATACAGGACAAAAAATTAAAATTGTAAATGCTTTGCTTGATGCACCCCCAAGAGGATAAAAAGTTTTAATTGATCAAGATGCTGTTATGAATAGATGTCTTACTTGATGCAGTGTATGGGTGAAAAAAAAACCTCATAGAATTCTAACCGATCATGATGTTGCAATGAGGAAAGCTTTAAAGGTATTGCGTCACGTATGGATTTATATACCAATTGGTTGTTGGTGTAGTGGTAATTAGGACTACACTTGATAGGGAGGACCTGTGTTTGATCCCCCGCAACAACAACTAGGAGGGGAATGGAACCTAACCACTCAGAACTGATCCCCGAATCCGGATTATCTCAAAGGGTGAACTGGGTGAAACACACAAAAAATAAAAAAAAAACAAAAAAACGTATGGATCTATATTTATTTTTTCTACTACTGGAGTGAATATTGTATCGCTGAATTGTAGATTGTTCTATTCAATAACAACAACATATCATTAAGGGGATACGAAGTACGTAATAACATAAGACAACAATATACATAAGGTTTATAGTGGAAAACATACTGTAATGCTCGCTGTAACAACATTTTATCCCACTGAAATCCATTATAATACCATTGTAATAATCATGTGTATATAATTAGAAAACAATAATTATGTAAATATTTGATGAGAAATTAATTAATTTAATTGTTCATTAATTTAATTATTGAATTGGTGATGTGGAGTTAACTAATTCACTTGCCAGCCTTAAAAGAACATATGCAGTAACAACTAAAAACCTAACGATAGTTAAATGCTATATCTTAATATTTTAGAACTTTGCAGTAACAACTGAGAACTTAACAATAGTTAAATGTTATATCAAATTATAAAACTTCCATGCATTGCATTTCAAACAATTAACCACAGGCAACGTAGTAAGCGTCACTTGCTTCAATAAGAAGTAATAACTTGAGAGGTAATTGTTAAAATGTGAATTCTATACTTTTATTTAGGCTAATATGATAGAAATGGTACGTAAGAGTTTACTTAACATTGAAACAAGATATGCTATAGTTTTATAAAATAAACAAGATAAGTTATTTACCTCATTTGATAAGTAGAACTTATTTATATGAAAGCATTATAATTAAAACCCAATATACTGAAAACCATTATTATATACTGAAACAAAAATTATACAAAATCATTGTAATTTGTATACCAAGAGAATGATGAAAAGGGTATCATTAAGGAAGGATAGGGTACCATTGAAAGTAATTTCAGTATCACTCATAGTGTACCATTGAGTGACATTAGGGTATCACTAAAGTGCATACCTTCTTTGACATGATTAGTTGTAAAATTACTAAATGTGCATTGAATAGTACAAGGATAGATACCGGTGAACCCTCTAAGGATACCGTTGAAAAGTCGTACGTACTACGATTGAAAGTTCTTAGGGTTCCTTTGAAATACATTAGGGTACCATTATATTTATATTAATAATCCTAAACATAATCATTGGTTTAAGATTTATACATTAGGGTCCTATATGTATGTGGATTTGATCCTAAAACATTAATAAGTTTAAAAATCTAATAAGTTTTGTGTACAACGGTGTACATTAATTTTATTGTAAAACGGTCAGTTTGAGCGTAACTTTAACTATTTTTATAGTAACTTTAACCATTTAAAGAATAACTTTTAATTTGTCGTTGGTTTGAATTTTATTTTAATGTGTAATTTAATTTCTTATAGATATGTGATTATATATTATAAAGACTAATATGATTAATCTAATACATTATAAGTTTTTTGTAAGATAAAATTTATTAATAGAAAAATAATAACTTGTGCAGTATAAAGAGTAACTTTAAGTACTTTAACATAACTTTAACCCGTTTTACAATAAATTAATGTACACCTGCCTTTTTGGAGAAATTGTGTTAAAAATCTATAAAAGGTTTTTATTCTTTCAACAATAATTAGCAATTAGATAGGTAAGCGTACAAATTTACCTAACAAATTAGAAATAAGAAGTAAATAGGTAAATGAACAAAAATCTGTTATAAATATATCAAACGAACAAGATATGCTATTTAAATTTGAACTTATTTATATGGGAGCATTAAAATTGAAAACCAAGATTACTATTAAATGATTATTATTGAAACCAAGTTTATTTGAGTATAAAATCATGATTGGTTGTGAAAATAACTTTTGTTTGCATTAAATAGTGAATACTAAAAGGATACTACTCAATGTCCTTAAGAGTACCATTGAACCCTAAAGGTACCACCGAAGGGTATTACAATTGAAAGTTACAAGGGTTTCTTTGATTTAGTTAAGAGTTCCTTTGAAATATATTAGTGTACCACTATGGTGTATATCAATCCTAAAAACAATCATTACTTTAAGATTTGTATAAGTCTTATGCATCTTATACTCAAAAAAACATTAATTCAACCAAAACCAAGAATATATTAAATTGTTAATATTGAAACCAAGTTTATATAAAACCATAAGTAGTGTATAAAGTCTATAAAAAATCCAAGAGTTCCACAACTAGTGTATCATTGAATAATATTTGGGTACCGTTAAATGGCGTTAGGATTCCATTAGATGCAATTAGGGTACCGGTAAATTAAAATACACTTGAAAACTAAAAAGGTTTCGTTGTGTTAGTTCCATCAAAATACAATTAGGGTACCAGTGAATGAAATAAGCTTTAAATTATTATTGTTACATTGAGTTTGTGTGGGATTTTGATTTATATAAGTCTTCCAACAATCATTCACATGTAGATTAATTTATATAAGATAATTTCGAGTGATCAATGTAAACTACAATACTTTTCTATTCCCTTTTATTTTTTTTGGCATTTATTTCCTTAAATTGACACACACACACATATATATATACACACACTTAGAAATTTTGTTACAAAAATTACAATTGATCGGCTGAACAACAAGAAGTCAGTAGCTACACCAAGCAGCAGCATCTTCTAGCACATCAACACAAGCAACAGCAACATCGGTACCACCGAACAAGGAACATCAGGAACTGCCAATAAAACCAAAATAAGAACAAAAAATATGTACGGAGTATGATCTTAGCCATCAAGAAAAAGTAAATTTCTAGTCATGCATATTTTTTAGCAGATTTCCATCGATTTTGTGCTTGAGCTATTTTACGTCCTTTTTGACAACATTCCTTTAAGTGCCCATGAAACTCATACATACAAAAGTTAATGGACCAAATAATACTTCCAAATTACAGTTCATTCAGATTTTGATTGACACATAATAAATTAAGGCCATTAATTAATCTAAATTCAGTTTAGCAGTTTTGATAACAGTTAGATTTAGACATAATCTGTTCACTTCAACAATTTAGAGCTCTGACTTTGTAGCACCCTAAATCAATTTTGGCCAACAAAGCAAAGCTATGACAAACAATGACTGTAGAGACCAAGCTTATGATTAAATATTGTTTAAAACTAAATCTAAAAAGAGGTCATAAATCAAATTAAGCTGACATACAAAGACTCCACATCTTACAAATGGTGCAAAAGATAGCAATTACAGAACAAATATATAATCTATAGTACTATACCATAACTTTGCATCAAAATAAAACTCAATAGCTAAAAAGTAGTTGAGTAAGACATTGAAATGCAATAAACAGATAGGACTTTCTAATATGTTTAAAATTATAACGCCACTTTTAGAAAAATTCTCAACATTTGTAAACTCCATTATTGACATGCTTTCAAGATTCTAGCAAATTCCTACTTCTTAACACATTCAACACATTATGTCAATTTTAAATTTTAACCATTTATGCTACAAGGCCTACAGCTGCATCAAAGCTTAAGACAAAACAATGAATGATAAAAAATTAACATGTAAAATTAGGATTGAATAGTGAATCCTTGTCAAAATCTACAAATCATCGATCCCAATTTTGTACCCAAGCATCTACCATTACAATCTAATAAACCCTAACTCCCAACATTAAGCTGCATTTTCGACACATAGTGAGGCCTAATTCAGAAAATTAATCATACATTTTAAATAATTGTAATAATTCGCGCATAAAAAAATTATTACTTAATCTACACAAACATCTGTACTAACCTTTGTTAATAAAGGAGTGAGCTAATTCAGTCAAGTTTCAGTATAAACGACCAAAGAAAGTAAAAGAGAACCCAGAAATTTTCAAAGAGAAAGAAAGAAAGTAAATTGAAGAATTGAAGAGAGAGAAATAAACAAAAGATCAGGCAAATTAAAGAAAGGGGGCAAAAAGTTAGAAGGGAAAGAAATAAAAAATATTTTTCATATAACAGGGCTACTGTTTATAGGACCCACAAAAAAACGGGATGCACATGTGAAAAATTTCAAATCGGTTGGGAAATTACTGACAAGCCCCTCGTTATGTATTTCGTGGTACATCACTAACCTCCCTTTGGAAGGCCTCGGTGGTTATAAACTTTGGTCATTAGTGAGGTGGAATAGAGAATAATAATAAATAATTTCATGACCAAAATATTTTGGTCATCTAAAGGCCTTGATCTAATGGAAAATTATTTAAGATATTAAGTTAAGAGTCTTAAGAAATTTAGCTCCGATGTTGGCCAACCAATCCGATGTACGATCACCACCTTTGTAGGTGTGAGCAATA